TGCAGCTTTGTGTCTAATAACAACTGATTATCACAAAAGGGAAACGGAAAATAAAAAAAGAAAGATTCTTGTAATAGGTCATGGGTTCTTAAGATACAATTGTAAAAATATTTTGAACATTTTAATGGGTTCTGACATGGGTTTCTAACATGAAACTTATGTTAATTAACTCTAAATCTTAAATTTTCAGTTTGGCGAACGCAATTTTCATCACATATTGTACATTATAATCCATATAAATACAGTTTTTAGAAATACAAGAAAAGATCTTGAGATTTTAAATATAATAGTTCCATCTGTGTTTCTAATGATATCAATATTGGTAATATAACCTAGATTACAGAGATGACATCTTTAAATCAAACATAATACTTATCAGTATTTTATATTTATAGTAAACAGTTCAAGTTTTTACGTTGTCTATAAGCTATAATAACATTCATATTATTTACGGCTCTTTTTTGTGTTAGATGTACAGGAGGTAATCAATATTGCAGTTTTTAATATTAACCTTTAACTCTGAGAGAGACTATAAATAAATGTAAAAAATCACCTAATTTAAAAAACTTTTATTGCGCATCCTTTCGAGCGTTTCTAACGTTCTTTATCAAGCTTTGGTTAAGCCTAACCGCACAACAGTTCCTAATATCATACATTAACCAAGAAATATCATAAAGCTTCAACAAAACAATCACACGGAACATAACATTGGTAATAGGGGAAAGAACAACTGCTGTCGATAAATTATTTTATTTATTTTTAACTAAATAAAAATTGTTATACATATTCATTCACATGTGTGTGTATATATATATTACGAAGAAATAGGAAGCCCTTAAAACAACTGTTAGTTGGAAAAGAATGTAATAGGTTTTATTTTACGTTTTAAAGTAATCCAGAGTAATGTTTAAAAGTATACAAAATTTTAATTACTGAAAGTATTATGTTTTTAATCCGAACGGCACCTTATGCGACACATGGGCTAAATGTCAGGGCAGAGACCTCTAGGGCTTAGACACAGCCGTCTCTAAATTTGTATACTTCTCACCAGAGAGAGGGCAGCAAGACAGCAGCACCCGCCACCGCATAATGGTATATCCTCTCATTTTTATTGAAAGTATAATACTCATATTGAATTTGTTGGAATATGGAGATAGGTGAGACTGTAAACAAAAAGTAGGGGATGTATATAAGAAATTAAATCATTCATTTATATTGTTGCGTCAGCCAGGTCACGTGACTCGTTCTCTCGAACCTTCTGGAATTGTCGGGAGATTACTAGATATAGGGTAGTCTGGTATATATAAGAGGGTGACAACGTGACGTGATAATGTGTGTGTAGATAGCGAGTAATTGAACTGCAGTCAGAAGTATTGTTGACGTTCGTTGATATAGCGTTTGTTATAGAGCGACTGTTGAAAATAAGTGTATCGTAAAGTTATATTCGGAAAGAATAAACCAGTTTTATTAAGTAAGGACTTGTGTCGCTAAAGTTTCGTCGGAACGAATTTACGGAAAATCAATTAACAAACGGAGACGTAACAATATCATCAAGACTTAGAAAGTTCAGTTTCAAAACTATCTCGTTGTCAGAATTTATAGTTATAGTATGGTCGCCAATTGTCAATTAAAAGCCTTTTACTGTGACTTCTTAATAGTATAAATATATACTGTGTTGGGCTTAGGATTTTTAACCAGTAGGTGTCTGCTACTTGTTGGCGATAAATTCAACGATAAATGAACAGCATGTTTTCAAAATAATATATACATATACAGTATATTCGGAACAGTTAAACATATGTAAAACAAATTATTTACATTATAGAGATTATAGGCATATCATAAACACTACATATACATATATATATATATAAAGTTCTCTCCTTGTCAAAAAGCCATTTAGGCCTGTTCAATTGCTTTAGAATTTCAGTTGACAAGTCGAACTATTTTCTCTATCGCACATGTATTCTGTGTGTGATTCACTTAGAATTGTGACGCAAGTTACCGTAATCGTTTGTTCTTCTTTCTTCTAAATATCCTCTGTTCCTTTTGTCAAAATGCGGTCAGGCTGATTCATTACTTTAGAACCACGCTTTGACGGAATAAATTTTATCTCCTTTTATACTGTTAGTCTTAGTCTAACATATTAAACGTTAGGCCTGTCACTTCTACGGTAGTTAACTTCACGCAGGACTTTTCCTTGGCCGCGACTTTACTCTCTTCTGCTATTGTCTGTCTGCTTTTCCGCTCGTCTCACTCTATTCATATGTTTATTAGTCGTCTGCCTGCCTTCTAGAAATCTCTATATTCTCGACATCAATGTTTGACACGCGACGTTCGATAGTCTCAACATCAATGACTTATAAACACAACTTCCTACAATCATCTGCTTTTAACTCTTATTATAACAAAAACTAAACAGTCTTTTATATCATGACACTCGTTTTTAGTTATTTCCTTTCTATCTGTGTTCTTAGGCATCGACTTTAAAACATTTAATACTGTGTTCACAGTCCTGTTGAAGTTGAGTGCTACAAGTGTGTCGTGATCAATGACCGAAATACTACTAGTTTCTCTGGTCAATATATAAGACAATTTTAACATGTTTTGATGACTTCTTGTTCTTTGTTATAAAGCAAAAGCACATTTGGCTAACTACCTCGGATTTTAGCGTTGTAAGTTCGTAAACTTACTGCTGATCCACGGGGGAGGGGGCAGGATGACTTATAACCCTTTATGGATGTTATTGGACTCACGTTACACATACATATATGTATGGACCATTTATGACGTACAAGTGGGTGACTTGGAGGAAGCTTCTTTTGGAGAAGTTGACTATGAACTAACAAGTATCTGGAATTAGTATCCCGTCTGTAAAAAAATGGTGGTTCTCAGAAAATTATATGGCCTGTTGTAGTGTCCTGTTGTGTGGTGTTAAAGTTATTCAGAATAATGTGGGTGATCTGTTTATTAAGTTGGTGATAGGAAAGGTGAATTGAAATGCGTCGATTACCTCTAGTGATTGAAGTTTGCCGACTCGGTTCAGTAAGTGCTGGATTCCTTTCTTATTTCGTGGGGGAAAAAAGAGGGGTGTTATATGTGTAGGTGTTTAGATCTTAGGATCCTTAATGTAGTGCTTTAAATATACACCTGGAAAAAAGTTAGCACCCCCAAATATTTTCAGGATTGCTTATTGAAAATA